ACACACACACACACACACACACACACACACACACACACACACACACAGCAAGTGCTCAAAAACTGGTTGCTCTTATCTTGACCTCTAAGTTTCTTAAAAGTTTGAAAGTAAGCAAGTGTTTTATTATAGCTTTTAAAAATAAGCAAAAATTGCTAAAGTAGTACTCATACTGATAGGTTTAGCATAAAATGTCTCATCTTTATCACACTGTTTTTGGAAAGAGTGTCCTCTTTAAGAACCTTAAGGATGTTTGTATTCTTAATCTCAGCAATCCTATGCCTAGGAATTTACCCAAAGGAAAATAATAAAATAAAAACTTATACACATTATGATGTTCACTGTATTTGACTATTAAAATAAATTACTGTTAAATTGTCTAATATCAGGCTAGGGGAATGATTTTGTAAGTTATACCAACAAAAAACAACAATCATGAAAATAAAGAAACATGGAAAAATATTTAGGGTAAATTAAAATTATGCATGCTGTGACTTACAACCATGAGAATATATATTCATATATTCAAAGACTTTTACACAAAGATTAAAAAAATTCTATGTGGGACTGGAATTACAGACAATTTTTCCCTATTCCCCAAAATTGTAAAATGTTCTTACATTCTACTTAACAAATTAAGGTGTACTTAACCTAAGAGAGTTATATATTCAACAGTCATAATTTATACTCCTGCTCCGGTAAGGGCACACTGACTGCATTCTTGGTAGCACAGAAAGCCTGGAACTACGCATATTGTTTTCTCTGCTGTACTATCTCAGGCAAACACTTACTTGAGAAACTGGCTCTTAGCTGTACTTGGGTCACCAACAATGCAAACATTTATGTCCCCTCGAAGAGAGGTTCCTTCCCCTGTTGTCTTTGGAACACCACCAAAGAGCATCAGCAAGATACCCCGTTTTACTTCGTCATTGCCTGAAATGAAAATCCAAGGTATTTTTCAACATGAGGTTAAACAATTTCACAGGAAACTACAAAGGCATATTTACCAACCAAAAGAGCAGAGACCACTGAAGAAAAGCTAAGACTAGAGTAAAAATATATGGTTCTTGTCCTGTGAATGTAAAGTCACCCAGTCACTGTCCTAATGTCTTCACCTAATCATAGATGGCAATGCTCACCATTCTAAGAGCCTCTCCTTGTCCGTAAGTCCTACTTCCTAAACAAAGCCTTTCCCCATGTCACAGTCCTCAAATATCTCTCCCCATAAATAAACTATGTCCACTACAGCCTACCACATTTGCTAGTTCTTTCTACAGGCAAGTCTTACAGCTCTACCAAGAGTTTGAGGAAATGGTCCATGACTTACTTCTTTTGTATCAGGTACAGTGACCCATGCTGAATATAAATACAAGCTAATTGAACTGATATGGATTAGATAAGATGCTGAATGTGATTTACAGCTGCTTCTGAGAACTGTTTATAAATGCAATATAAGAAGGAAATGCACAATTAAAAAAAAAAAGACAACACCAGATTTTTAGAAATGTGATACCAGAAGAAACATTTTTCCGTTTTAGTTATTATGACTTTCTGTGAAATCCATCAACAAAGTGCTAGGTACATTTATACAAAACACTCCTTAAAAGCAAAAAATTAAAAATCCAATCCAAAAACAAAATTTCTCTGACTCATAACCTATATGAAACAAATGTGTTGGAGGTGTGGTAGTTTTAAAATGGCCCACAAATTATTTGATAATCCGCTTTTCTAGATGGAGCTTAATTCTCCTCTCCTTAAGTGTGGCTGGGCTTAGCAACTTGCTTCCCACAAATAGCCTGTGGTAGAAGTGAAGGTGTCTTAACTTCTGACACTAGGTCCTGAGAAGCACTTTGCTTCCTCCTTGCTCTGCTCTCTTGGATTGCAGGCTCTGGGGGAAGCCAGCTGCTGTGTTGTGAGGACACTGAACCAGCTCAATGGAAGAGACTCATGTGGCAAGGAACTGAGGCTTCCAGCTGACAACTAGCACTAACTAACTACTAAGCAGTGAGTAAGCTCCCTCGTCAGTGGATTCTCCAGCCCAAGTCAAGCCTTCAGATGACTGCAGCCCCAGATGACGTCTTGGCTACAAACTCATCAAAGACTGAGCCGGAACCACCTAGCTAAGTCTCTCTCAAATTTCTGACCTATAGACTTTATGAGATAATGTTTGTTGTTTCAAGCCATGAAGTTTTGGTATAATTTGTTATGTAGCAACAGTTTAGTTTACAGGGGAATGGAGCAACATAAAATTTGACACCTACTCATTATAAGGGAGGACACTCTAAAATCCACAAAAGATTATTAACATAAAAGAATTTCAGTTCAATTTCATTGACCAAATATTTAAGTAGAAAAAAAGGTTAATTTTCAATGATTAAAAATATATACCTAGGGACTTCCCTGGTGGTCCAATGCTTAAGAATCTGCCATCCAATGCAGGGGACGCGGGTTCAATCCCTGGTCAGGGAACTAAGATCCCACGTGCCACAGTGCAACTAAGCCCGTGCACCACAACTAGAGAGCCTGGATACCACAACTACTGAGCCTGCATGCTCTAGAGCCCGTGTGCCACAACTAGAGAACCCACACACACCACAACTAGAGAGAAGCCCGTGCACTGCAATGAAGAGCCCACACACCACAATGAAAGATCCCGCGTGCCGCAACTAAGACCCAATACAGGCAAATAAATAAACAAATAAATATTTGTAAAAATCCCAATAGCTTAAAAATATATGTATATACCTAAGAGAAATACCCATAATCTTTTTTTTTTTAAAAAGATGTTGGGGGTAGGAGTTTATTAATTAATTTATTTATTTTTGCTGTGTTGCATCTTCGTTTCTGTGCGAGGGCTTTCTCTAGTTGTGGCAAGCAGGGGCCACTCTTCATCGCGGTGCGCGGGCCTCTCACTATGGCGGCCTCTCTTGTTGCAGAGCACAGGCTCCAGACGCGCAGGCTCAGTAGTTGTGGCTCACGGGCCTAATTGCTCCGCGGCATGTGGGATCCTCCCAGACCAGGGCTCGAACCCGTGTCCCCTGCATTAGCAGGCAGATTCTCAACCACTGCGCCACCAGGGAAGCCCCAAGTACCCATAATCTTATGAATTCTTGCCATAACTCCAACTGAATGTGGAAGATAAGGATGGAAAAAACAAGGGTAAAGCATGAGGCCTGAAAATTTAGTCAAATCCTCAACACACAAGGGGATTTAATGAAGTGAGCAGCTAGTAACCAAGAGCTAAGAAAATATGAAAGAAGAAACCACAAGCTATAGGCATAGTAATATAGCCAAAAAACATCAAGAAATCTCTCTCCACCATGAAAACTAAAAAGAAAAATGAGATCAGGATATTAATCTGGCATATTAGAGTATACTTAAGTGCAGTTCTATCCTAAAGCCAGAAAAAAAGACTAAATGACCTTTTTTTTTTAAAAAAAAAAACAACTATGGTAGAGGGCTTCCCTGGTGGCGCAGTGGTTAAGAATCCGCCTGCCAATGCAGGGGACACGGGTTTGAGCCCTGGTCCAGGAAGATCCCACATGCTGTGGAGCAACCAAGACTGTGTGCCACAACTGCTGAGCCTGCACTCTGGAGCCCGCAAGCCACAACTACTGAGCCTGTGTGCCACAACTACTGAAGCGCGTGTGCCTAGAGCCCGTGCTCCGCAACAAGAGAAGCCACCGCAATGAGAAGCCTCCGTGCCACAACTAGAGAAAGCCTGCGCATAGCAATGAAGACCCAATGCAGCGAAAAATAAATAATAAAAATTTAAAAAAACTGGTAGAGTGACGAGGGCTTGGCGATGGCCGCCCTGCAGGCGCACAAACGGCTGTCGGGAGGCTGCTGTGTGGCGGCCGCTGAGACCTTCTCTGTCTGAGCCACAGTTCCTGAGTCCGGGGTCCCGTTTCCCAGAACCTTCAGATTTAAAGTACTACATGAAAATGAAAAGAAAGGTGGTGTATGCTGCCAGCAGGCTGAGATTGGGTGCTAATGAGGAAGCCTTCATTTTAAAGGAAGATTATGAAAGAAGATGAAAACTAAGATTGCTACAGGTTTGAGAACAAGAAAGAGATATTGCTTTACAAATAAGAGAAGATATAAAACAGAGAAGAAATCAGCAACTCACTCGTTTGGCAGAAGAACTAAGGACAGAATGGGAGGAATCACAAACTCAGAAAATAAAGAACTTGGAAAAACTGTATTTGGCAAGTTTAAGAAATATGGGAGAGGGGCATCAACAAGCCAAAGAAAATGTAAGTGAGCACTTATTTGACTACCTGCCTGTGGTAGTGATACTTGTTAAAAGTAGATTACAGTTGTTAGACACTTATAAAAATGTTTTCATGGGCTTCCCTGGTGGCGCAGTGGTTGAGAGTCCGCCTCCCAATGCAGGGGACACAGGTTCATGCCCCGGTCGGGGAAGATCCCACATGCCGCGGAGCGGCTGGGCCTATAAGCCATGGCCGCTGAGCCTGCGCGTCCGGAGCCTGTGCTCCAAAACGGGAGAGGCCACAGCAGTGAGAGGCCCGCGTACCACAAAAAAAAGAAAAAAAAAAAATGTTTTCATGTATAGAATTTGCTGCGGGCAGTCCGAACTTTTTTGTAAATTTAATATAATTTAAGAATTCTGCTAGGTTCATTTCCTAGTAAGAGTCATGTCAAGAATAATCTATTTCCAATGATGTTTAAGTTAACATTATTCTCTAACAAATTTATGGTTACCAAAGGGGGAAGGTGGGGGGGATAAATTAGGAAGTTGGGATTAATATATACACAGTACTATATATAAAATAGATAACCAACAATGACCTAGTGGATAGCACGGGAAACTATACTCAATATTTTGTAATAACCTATAAAGGAAAACAATCTGAACAAGAATATAGATATGTATATAACTGAATCACTGTGCTGTATACCTGAAACTAACACAACATTGTAAATCAACTATACTTCAATTAAAAAAACCAAACATTATTCTCTTCCAGTCCTTAACTATCTGTGTAAATAAAATAGTAACCTTCAGGAAAAAAAAATTGTAGTAAAATATACACAACTTTTAAGTGGTCCAGTGGAATTAAGTACATTCATTATCTTTTATAACCATCACCCCTATCCATTTCTAGAACTTTTCATCATCCCAAACAGAAACTCTATCCATTAAACAACAATTCCCTATTTCCCTCCTCACCAGGTAACCTCTTTCTACTTTCTTTCTCTGTGAATTTACCTGTTTTAAGTACCTCATTTTAAGTGGAATTGTATAATATCTGTCCTTTTATAAATGACTTTTTAAAACCCCTTCTAAACCCACTAAAAAACTTTCATAACCTGACTTTTGTGTTTTAAGAAGTCACATGTTGCTGTTTTATAATCATTATTTTGATTTCAAGTTTATGCCACAAATGGATAGAACTCTTACCATGTATAGTAGGGAACAGGCTTGTACAAAGATTGTGGTATAGATTTTTATCTTGACTCATTTCAAACACTTTCTCCCACTCCTTCACAGTCATTTGGTTCTTAATGCTCTCAGCTGTCTGTTCCTCATCTCGGAGCTCTTTTCCTCCGAACTGAGGGGTGGAGAAGAAAGGAAAAAAATAGTAGTATAGAAACAGTCAAAATAATGTGAAAGAGAAGAAACATCACCACAAACGAAATATAGCCTGGGAGGTCAACTTCAGAATCTGCTGACTGTAAAGGTTTTTAAAAAAAATCTCCTAACCAGTATGGCCTAAGTTAAGATACTGAAGAGCTTGTCATTTGTCCAGTGATTTAAAAAAAACAAAAAAAGCTACCACTATCGTTTTGTATTGCTATCTAAATGAATCTAGATGCTCATGAGATGAGCCATAATAAAATGTTAATCACTGATATGAAGATGAAAATGAAGAAACAGTATATTATGTTCACCACTCATTTTCCAAACTTTTCCTCACTGCTTTCCCCTCCTGGAACAAAATCAAGCTCTGAAGAACTACAATACCTGGGGTCGATCACTCTCAGAAAGAGCAGTATACTGTACTTCCCAGATACTAAATTTTTCTACTTGTACTTTCTCGAGGAACGTGACAGAGGAACTTTAACAATTAAAAACAGAAAAACAAAAACAGAAAAACCACTATGAATAATAATAGTACCAATGCTCTTAAAGCATTGAGCTCTTATGTACAAAAATAAATAAGACTTTTCCTTAAGATCGGGAAGACAGACATGAAAAAATCTGGTTTTAAAACTAAAGAACAAATCTCAACCCAACCCTGTTTTTAACACTGAGTTTGCGGCAGCCTCAGGGGATGCCTTTCTTAAGCTCTGCCATTCTACTAAGAAGACTCACCCTCGGGTTGGTTGGTGCAACACAACAGGCAAGAAAGACCAGCCTGTATGAAAGATCCCTAACACCAAGTGCCCGGAGCCCTCGAATGCCTTCTGTCTCATATCCATCAACACCACTGACACGGTAATTAGTTTCTGCACGTGCTCCTGAAACAATGAATGATAGACTGTTTCACAGCTCAAATACTGAAGGTGCTGAGAATCAAAACTGCTCAGATAAATGAAACCTATAAATGCAAATATTTCATTTAGGCTTTGAAATTTTTCAGAACAGTAGCTTTTATAGCAAACTAATTTGTTTTTACTCTCATCATAGTTCCTTGCTCACCCTCTGATTGGTAGCCAAAAATAAGACAAGGAAGACGCAAGAAGCTAGATACTCTGCAGTTCGGGTAACTGAGAATTTGTTAAATTTGAGCCACAGATTACTGACCTGGTATGCTAAGCTTAGACACGTCAGGCACAACAATCAGCGTCCCTGTAAAGTCACACTTGTCACCAGCTTGAGCTGACTCCACAGCTTCAGCCCTCAAGATCACTTCTAAACTGCGAGGGATACTCCCTCGAGGAAGCTCAGCTTGAGTCTCTTGAATACGAACCTGTAACAAAGACAAATAAATTGCCAAGGATGAGACGAGATCTATTTCAAATGCCATGCAATCTAAATTAAATGCCACAAATATCGACATATCCTAAATTATCTTACTAGTTTGCAGACTTCTGACATGTGCCAACATTCATCTTAAAAATTCTCTACCATAAAACTTACAATTTGGTAAAAGATTACATCTACTTAAAAACTTCAAGTTCACTTTTACTGTCATTAAACAACATGTATTTTTTTCTTTGTTCAAACTGACTTTAAATAATTGTTCTGTGTTCCATCTTCCTCTAAATTGTCAGGGAAATTTTATGAAAAATTTCACATCTTTTATACCCTCCACCTCAACACAACTGTTAACATTACTTAAGACACACATATTTTTACTGTATTATTTGAAAGAAGTTGCAAAAATCAAGATACTTCACCCCTAAATATTTTAGCACTCACCTCTTAAGAATAAAGACAGTCTCCTATGTAACCACAATACCATCAATCACACCAAGAGATTTAAATATTTAATTCCATAATGACTTCTTTATCTAGTCCATCTTCAAATTTCCCCAGTTGTCAAGAATGTCCTTTATTACAGCTGTTTTTTTCCCCCCCAAACCAAGACCCAACCTAAATTCGTATTTTGTATTTGGTTGTTATATCATGTTCTTTATCAAATATAAAGCATCTTTTACCCAAAGTTCTTGGTAAGAACACATGTTTCCTATAAACCAAGTATCAGAATAAAACAAGAAAACTAAGTAAGGACTAAAAACTGAATTTAATATAAATTATTTATTTTAGTCTGGTACTCATTCTCCAGTGCTTGAGCTGCTGCAGCTTTTCTCTTTGCATATATCAGAGTTACTAAGCCCTGAAGAGCTTTAGCCCCTTCATTCTTACTGCTACCATCCAACTCTTGCCCAGTGACTACAACTGCCTATTAGTCTCTTGTTAAATACCACACACAGTTGTCTCATTAATCTTCCTTTAAAATTCACATCATCTGAAAACTTATCCCCTTGCTTATCAAGATAGGTCCAAGCTTCTCAATCTGAGATTTAAGGCTCCAAGTACTTCCATGCTTCATACCAAATCATCTCTCAGATGATCTCCAATTTGGTTCCTCTACTTTAATCATGATAATCCTCATTGCTATTGACAAGCATGTCCATTTTCACCTGTCCTTTTATTTATGCCTTCCTCCCTCCTAACCACCAACTCCAAGTCTTACACCAACAAGTCTCTACTTCTGCAAAAATTTTCCTAACTCTAGCTTGTAATAATAACAGTAATAATAATGATTACTGTTTATTCTTTGACAAATACATTTTATTTGCCTGAAGGAGCTTCCAATCCAAGTTATTAATGGTTAGAACACATTTATATACTGATAATTGAAATTTGCATTACAAATTTTTAGCTTAAATCTGTAGTCACACTTGATGAACCTTGACTTACATAAAAACTGAGTTTAACATTGCCTAAGTAAGCTTATAATAATTACAAGTGCCTAGAAGTGAATTATTAGCATAGGCTGAATCTGATCTAAAAAGAAATTAATAAGCACCTTTTGAAAATCAACAAATCTCGATTTATTTGTATCCAGCAGGAATCTCCTTCTGTTGGCACAAACTGGATTTCGGCAAATGTTTGGCTGTGTGTATCTGAATTGTTGTTCTACATCCTTGATCACTGTCTGACAGTCCAAGCACAGGAAAGTTCCGCTCACAAGCTCTGGATGAACTGGGTGAGTCCGTACCACCTGCCCACTGATGCGAGTGAGCAAACCAATTCTGGATGAGTTGAGTTCTCGAATTCTGTTTAAAGACAGATATTGTATTACTAAATATTCATTTCAAACTAAAAATTTTCACTTTTAATGAGAGGATATTCAATGATAATTTATGCTTAAAATAACAACAACAAAATAAGAGACAAGGTATTCTTTGGACTCTCCTACAAGAATAATTTAGTCAACATGCCCATTCCTGAAGTATAATGTACATGCATCCACAACAAAATACATAAATGAATAAATAAGAAAAACTAAGTAAAGGACATGAAAGAAATGCAATTACAATTATAAAACACAATGATCCCATTTTTGTTTTATATGCAAATACATTTTTTTCTTACCTACATTTCTAAATAAGCATTTTCACAGTAAAGTTATCCTTGGGAAAAATTATCATAGGAAAATTTTTTTTTCTGAACTTGAAGGTTTAGAAAACACTGTATTTCACAAACCCATTTTATATTAAATAACTTGGTAATTTTATAAGTAATTTTAGTAGTTTAAGTTTTCAAAATATCACTTCAATTTCCTCCAACAAATTTATTCTTTAAATAACTGCTAAAGAGGAAAACAGTTTAAAAGCTATGCTATTTAAGCTCTTGACAATTCATTAATTTTTGTGACTGTTCTCAGTTTTCATATTTTCTCACTAATTTTTCACCTCAACATCCCTTAAAAGGTCTCCTAAAATACTATAATCCCCAGAAATTGCTTCACTTAACATGCTTCCCATCCCATTTTCCTGGAAATACATATTTTCCAAAACTAAATCTTCTGGATAACTGGATATAACTCTTTATAGACCTGGATATAACTCTTTATAGACCTAAGACTACAACCTTCTGAGCTTTCTGACAATTAAGTGATGCCTATACTATTTGGGGAATTTTTTTTTTTCAAAGAAGGGTTTCTTACTTGTGTCTGGTAGGAAGATCTTGGAATGCAACATAAAAATCCTTGGCAAGAGGGATCTCTTTACGGTCTTTGACAAAGGTTTTCAAGGCCCGACACAGGTAAGGGTAAACTCTGAAAAACAAACAAAAAGTAAATCAACTGACAACTTCAAGAGGCTTACCAAGGGCTCCTTCCCCTTATGCTTCCCAACAGCTGAAAGTAAGGAATTTCATCTGGTTACAACCAAGCTTTAGAATTTAACTCTGCGGGACACTTCTATCATCTGATCCAGGTTTAGAGCATCTTCAATCCTCTCCTATTCCACCATAAATATATCTAAGACAATAGAAACACCAAAGATAAAATGCTGTTCCTGAAAACCTATTATTTTTAAATAATCATTTAGCATGCACACAGCAGGTCACTCCTCTGTCCAAGATGACTCTACTTGAACCACCTGGGCAGTATACTACCTAGCAAGGCAGCCTCCCACTTGTCAAGGCCTACTATTTTCTTCCAGGTTTTATTCTTGATTGATAGGAAGTGGATAAGGGCAGGGAAGGAATTTGTGTACTGATTTGAGAGCAAGTTGGCAGAAACGTTTCACTTGACTGGTTAGATGGAAGTGTGCATGTTCTCTTAACTTTTAAATAGCTGAGGCAGCTTGGTTTAAGTGGTAGGATCTGGAAGTCCTCTGAAAAATCAGCTACTTTCAGGAGACAGAACTGCGGCACGGTCTGTGCATGAGGTACAGGCACAGGTGTTTCCACCATCAGCCCTGATTTTCTATTTCCCTCTCACTTGTCAGTACAACTTTTCCTGCTACATACTATCACAATAAACTCTGCTGCTTATCCCTCTAACCGTTCTTGATAGCCATATATGACTAGAAACACCGAGACAAATTCTCCATCTCCCAGTACACCAGGTAAAAGAACAGGACTGTGACTCCTTACTCCTGGGTCTTCATTTCTCTTTCATAACAGTCCACAGTGTTTATTTTAACCTGATTTTATTTAAACTAAGTTTTGTGTAGAAAGATATTTCTGGCTTTATATAGCAATTGAAAGCAAAACAAAAGCCTAATGTCTAATTTCTGCCAAAAAAATACCATTCAGCTTTTAAAATGTTTCAAGGGATTTTATATGATATGGGGAGGGAGAGTGGATTAAATGAATGACATAGCAATAGCACTGAAGCCTGAAACAAAGCAATCCTCTTAACACCTGGAAAAACTACATAGAAAACAAAGGTTTTCAACATTCGCATGTGAAAAACAGTCAACTCCACAAAGGCTTAAATTAGTTCAGAGCAGCACTAAAATGACCACTGGCTGTATCGAAGGGCCTCTGTGACAGCTGCCCTTTTGCCTCACAAATGAACACTTTCATTCTAAGAATAGCTGGCTTCCCAGGCTACATGTCTATTTAAAGTGAAGATTAATACACCAAACCTATAGAATTCCTCTTGAATGGTGGTGGAAAGTTGCTGGTTAAATTGCTCCAGGTCCAAAAAACTCACAACCAATGTGTTTCTCTCGGGACGAATTAACTCCTCAGCTAACTGCAAGTACTTAATTTCTCCATCGCTGTTCTGGAACCTGTAGATACATGCAAGTCAGATTAAACCTAAGAATTAGGCAGCAAAAAGAAGAATGTGAATGCCTGATAATTCAGCATATTGGTTAAAGACCATCAGTTTTAGGGTCAGACAGGCCCATTTTAGTAGTTGTATAACTTGGGGCAAGTTACTTACCTATTCTAAACCTGTCCCTCTTCTGTTTGAAAAAAAAATAATAAAAAAGATTAGAACATCATCTTATCTCTTAAGATCACTGTGAAGATTAAATGAGAAAATGCCTTTAAAATGTTTTGTACAAAGCTGGGAACATAGCAAAACTACGTCTTCAGATTTAAATCTGAATTTCTTGATTTAACACTTTCCAATCTTAACTGTACACACCAACAATAAAAGAATAGTTAGTATTTGTTGATTAGAAAATATTAAATCAAGATATCCAGGTTAGGAGATTGGTTCAAGATGGCGGAGTAGAAGGACGTGTGCTCACTCCCTCTTGTGAGAGCACCGGAATCACAACTAGCTGCTGGACAATCATCAACAGGAAGACACTGGAACTCACCAAAAAACATATCCCACATCCAAAGACAAAGGAGAAGCTGCAATGAGGCGGTAGGAGGTGCGCAATCACAATAAAATCAAATCCCATAACCGCTGGGTGGGTGACTCACAAACTGGAGAACAATTTTACCATGGAAATCCACCCACTGGAGTGAAGGTTCTGAGCCCCCCGTCAGTCTTCCCAACCTGGGGGTCCGGCAACGGGAGGAGGAATTCCCAGAGAATCAGACTTTAAAGGCTAGCGGGATTTGACTGCAGGACTTCGACAGGACTGGGGGAAACAGAGACTCCACTCCTGGAGGGCACACACAAAGTAGTGTGCACATCGGGACCCAGGGGAAGGAGCAGCGACCCCATAGGAGACTGAACCAGACCTACCTGCTAGTGTTGGAGGGTCTCTGGCAGAGGCAGGGGGTGGCTATGGTTCACTGCGAGGACAAGGACACTGGCAGCAGAAGTTCTGGGAAGTAGACACCTCCTGGTGTCGCCCACCAAAGAGCCTGTAGGCTCCAGTGCTGGGTCACCTCAGTCCAAACAACCAACAGGGAGGACACTCAGCCTCACCCATCAGCAGACAAGTGGATTAAAGTGTTACTAAGCTCTGCCCACCAGAGCAACAGCCAGCTCTACCCACCCCATCAGGAAGCTTGCACAAGCCTCTTAGATAGCCTCAACCACCAGAGGGCAGACAGCAGAAGCAAGAAGAGCTACAATCCTGCAGCCTATGGAACGAAAACCACATTCACAGAGAGACAGACAAAATAAAAAGGCAGAGGACTATACCAGGTGAAGGAACAAGGTAAGACCGCAGAAAAACAATTAAATGAAGGGGAGATAGGTAACCTTCCAGAAAAAGAATTCAGAATAATGATAGTGAAGACGATCCAGGACCTCGGAAAAAGAATGGAGGCAAAGATTGAGAAAATGCAAGAAATGTTTAACAAAGACCTAGAAGAAGTAAAAAACAAACAGAGATGAATAATACAATAACTGAAATGAAAAATACACTAGAAGCAATCAGTAGAATAACTGAGACAGAAGAATGGATAAGTGACCTGGAAGACAGAATGGTGGAATTCACTGCTGAGGAACAGAATAAAGAAAAAAGAATGAAAAGAAATGAAGACAGCCTAAGAGACCTCTGGGACAACATTAAATGCACCAACATTTGCATTATAGGGGTCCCAGAAGGAGAAGAGAGAGAGAATCGACCTGAGAAAATATCTGAAGAGATTATAGTTGAAAACTTCCCTAACATGGGAAAGGAAATAGTCACCCAAGTCCAGGAAGCACAGAGAGTCCCAGGCAGGATAAACCCAAAGAGAAACACGCCAAGACACACAGTAATCAAACTGACAAAAATTAAAGACAAAGAAAAATTATTAAAGGCAACAAGGGAAAAACGACAAATAACATACAAGGGAACTCCCATAAGGTTAACAACTGATTTCTCAGCAGAAACTCCACAAGCCAGAAGGGAGTGGCACGATATATTTAAAGTGATGAAAGGGAAGAACCTACAACCAAGATTACTCTACCCGGCAAGGATCTCATTCAGATTCGATGGAGAAATCAAAAGCTTTATAGACACACAAAAGCTAAGAGAATTCCACACCACCAAACTAGCTCTACAGCAAATGCTAAAGGAACTTCTCTAAGTGGGAAACCCAAAAGAAAAGAACCTACAAAAACAAACGTAAAACAATTAAGAAAATGGTAATAGGAAAATACATATCGATAATTACCTTGAATGTGATTGAATTAAATGCTCCAACCAAAAGACACAGGCTTGCTGAATGGATACAAAAACAAGACCCGTATATATGCTGTCTATAAGAGATACATACAGACTGAAAGTGAGGGGATGGAAAAAGTTATTCCATGCAAATGGACATCAAAAGAAAGCTGGAGTAGCAATACTTATATCAGGTAAAATAGACTTTAAAATAAAGAATAGGGCTTCCCTGGTGGCGCAGTGGTACAGAGTCCGCCTGCCGATGCAGGGGACACGGGTTCGTGCCCCGATCCGGGAAGATCCCACATGCCGCGGAGCAGCTAGGCCCGTGAGCCATGGCCGCTGAGCCTGCGCATCCGGAGCCTGTGCTCCGCAATGGAAGAGGCCACAACAGTGAGAGGCCCGTGTACCGCAAAACAAACAAACAAACAAAATAAAGAATATTACAAGAGACAAGGACACTACATAATGATCAAGGGATCAATCCAAGAAGAAGATAAAACAATTATAAACTTATAGGCACCCAAAATAGGAACACCTCAATACACAAGGCAAATGCTAACAGCTATTAAAGAGGATATCAATAGTAACACAATAATAGTGGGGGACTTTATAACGCCTCACCTACACCAATAGACAAATTATCCAGACAGAAAATTAATAAGGAAACACAAGCTTTAAATGACACAATAGACCAGATAGATTTAATTGATATTTATAGGACATTCCATCCGAAAACAGCAGATTACACTTTCTTCTCAAGTGCACACAGAACATTCTCCAGGATAGATCACATCTTGGGTCACAAATCAAACCTTGGTAAATTTAAGAAAACTGAAATCATATCAAGCATCTTTTCCAACCACAACGCTATGAGATTAGAAATCAATTACAGGGAAAAAAAAAACGTAAAAAACACAAACACATGGAGGCTAAACAATACGTTACTAAATAACTAAGAGATCACTGAAGAAATCAAAGAGGACATCAGAAAATACATAGAGACAAATAACAATGAAAACATGACAATCCAAAACCTATGGGATGCAGCAAAAGCAGTTCTAAGAGGGAAGTTTATAACAATACAATCCTACCTCAAGAAACAAGAAAAATCTCAAATAAACAATCTAACCTCACACCTAAAGGAACTAGAGAAACAACAAACAAAACCCAAAGTTAGTACAAGGATAGAAATCATACAGCTGAGAGCAAAAATAAATGAAATAGAAACAAAGAAAACAACAGCAAAGATCAACTCTATGCCAATAAAATGGACAACTTGGAAGAAATGGACAAATTCTTAGAAAGGTATAACCTTCCAAGACTGAACTGGGAAGAGGCAGAAAATATGAACAGACCAATCACAAGTAATGAAATTGAAACTGTGATTAAAAATCTTCCAACAAACAAAAGTCCAGGACCAGACAGCTTCACAGGTGAATTCTACCAAAGGTTTAGAGAAGGCTAACACTCTTCCAAAAAATTACAGACAAAGGAACACTCCCAAACTCATTTTATGAGGACATCACCCTGATATCAAAACCAGACAAAGATACTACAAAAAAAAAAATTACAGACCAATATCACTGATGAATATAGATGCAAAAATCGTCAACAAAATACTAGCAAACAGAATCCAACAACACATTAAAAGGATCATATACCATGATGAAGTGGGATTTATCCCAGGGATGCAAGGATTCAACATATGCAAATCAACCAATGTGATACACCATATTAACAAACTGAAGGATAAAAACCATATGATAATCTCAAAAGATGCATAAAAAGCTTCTGACAATATTCAACTCTCAAAAGATGCATAAAAAGCTTTTGACAAATTTCAACACCCATTTATGATAAAAACTCTCCAGAAAGTGGGCATAGAGGGATCCTACCTCAACATAATAAAGGCCATATATGACAAACCCACAGCAAACATCATTCTCAATGGTGAAAAACTGAAACCATTCCCTGTAAGATCAGGAACAAGACAAGGATGTCCACTTTCGCCACTCTTATTCAACAGTTTTGCAAGTCCTAGCCATGGCAATTACAGAAGAAAAATAAAAGGAATCCGAATTGGAAAAGAAGAAGTAAAACTGTCACCATCTGCAGATGATACTGTACATAGATAATCCTAAAGATGCCAGCAGAAAACTACTAGAGCTAATCAATGAATTTGGTAAACTTGCAGAATACAAAATTAATGCATAGAAATCTCTTGCATTCCTATACACTAACAATGAAGGATCAGAAAGAGAAATTAAGGACACAGTCCCATTCACCACTGCAACAAAAAGAATACCTAGGAATAAACCTAAGGAGACAGAAAACCTGTACTCAGAAAACCATAAGACACTGATGAAAGAAATCAAAGATGACACAAGCAGATAGAGATATATCATGTTCTTGTATTGGAAGAATCAATATTGTGAAAATGACTATACCACCCAAAGCAATCTATAGATTCAATGCAATCCCTATCAAATGACCAATGGCATTTTTTCCAGAACTAGAACAAAAAATCTTAAAATTTGTATAGAGACACAAAAGACCCCGAATAGCCAAAGCAATCTTGAGGGGAAAAAACGAATAGCCAAAGCAATCTTGAGGGGAAAAAACGGAGCTGGAGGAACCACAGCTGGAAGTCCCTGACTTCAGACTATACTACAAAGCTACAGTAACGAAGGCAACATGGTACTGGCATAAAAACAGAAATATAGATCAATGGAACAGGATAGAAAGCCCAGAGATAAACCCACGCACCTATGGTCAACTAATCTATGACAAAGGAAGCAAGGATATACAATGGAGAAAAGACAATCTCTTCAATAAATGGTGCTGGGAAAACTGGACAGCTACATGTAAAAGAATGAAATTAGCACATTCCCTAACACCATACACAAAAATAAACTCAAAATGGATTAAATACTTAAATGTAAGGCCAGACACTATAAAACTCTTAGAGGAAAACATAGTCAGAACACTCTATGACATACATCACAGCAAGATCCTTTTTGACCCACCTCCTGAAGTAATGAAAATAAAAACAAAAATAAACAAGTGGGACCTAATGAAACTTAAAAACTTCTGCACAGCAAAGGAAAGTATAAACAAGATGAAAAGACAACCCTCAGAATGGGAGAAAATATTTGCAAATGAATCAACGGACAAAGGATTACTCTCCAAAATATATAAACAGCTCATGCAGCTCAATATTAAAAAAACAAACAAGCCAATCAAAAAATGGGCAGAAGACCTAAATAGACATTTCTCCAAAGAAGACATACAGATGGCCAAGACGCACATGAAAAGATGCTCAACATCACTAATTATTAGAGAAATACAAATCAAAACTATAATGAGGTTTCACACACTGGTCAGAATGGGCATCATCAGAAAATCTACAAATAACAAATACTGGAGAGGGTGTGGAGATAAGGGAACCCTCTTGCACTGTTGGTGGGAATGTAAACTGATACAGCCACTATGGAGGTTCCTTAAAAAACTAAAAATAGAATTACCATAGGACCCAACAATCCCACCACTGGGCATATACCCAGAGAAAACCATAATTCAAAAAGACACATGCGTCGCAATGTTCACTGCAGCACTATTTGCAACAGCCAGGTCATGGAAGCAACCTAAATGCCCATTGACAGACAAATGGATAAAGAAGATGTGGTACATATATACAATGGACTATTACTCAGCCATAAAAAGGAATGAAACTGGGTCATTTGTAGAGACGTGGATGGACCTAGAGACTGCCATACAGAGTGAAGTTAAGTTGGAAAGAGAAAAACAAATATCGTATATTAACATATATATGTGGAATCTAGAAAAATGGTACAGATGAACCATTTGCAAGGCAGAAATAGAGACACAGATGTAGAGAACAAATGTATGGACACCAAGGGGGGAAAGCGGGGGGCTGTTGTTGTTGTTGGTGATGGTGAGATGAATTGGGAGATTAGGACTGACATATATACACTAATATGTATAAAATAGATAACTAATAAGAATGTGCCATATATTAAAAAAAGTGATAAGTAATAAAAAAACTCAAAAAAACCTAACTCTATTAATGATATAAAAAAAAAAGAAAGAAATACAGGTTAAAATCCAAAGATTTAATTTCTAAAGAGAAAACTGACAGATTAGCTGTTGATTTATGAACCAGAATACAAATAAATACACAGAAATGAGGTGCTTCAGCGCCTAAGACCTTCAGGAAAAAGGAAACATACACACACACAAAGTAAAGCTGGTGTGTTTTTTCCAAAAGCGTATCATACGAACATATTTGATTTTTGTTCTTCTAACATAACCATGCAGATTAGTTTTGAGAAAAAATCAATTCCTCCTTCAAATACAGCATGTTCTAACTGTTAAATACCTAAATATCTATCTGCAAAGCACTATGCCAGAGGTACCACAGGCTGGAAATGACAGTATCGTCCCTCTGCTGGGGTTGACACTCTCATAGGAGACATTTCTACTAAAAAGAGGGACAAGACATCTAAATGTTCATGACAAATGAACGAACAAAATGTAGTATACACATACAACAGAATGTTATTCAACCTTAAAACAGGATATTCTGCAATGTCTCAATATGGATGAATCTTGAGGACATGGTGCTAAGTGAAATAAGCCAATTACAGAAAGACAAATATTGCATGATTCTACTAATATGAGGTATCTAAAAGTCAAATTCAGGAATTCCCTGGTGATGCAGTGGTTAGGACTCCACGCTTTCACTGCCGTGGGCCCGGGGTTCGATCCCTGGCCAGGGAACTAAGATCTCACAAGCCATTGGGAGAGGCCAAAAAAACCCCCCAAAAGTCAAATTCATAGAATCAAAGAGTGGTATGGTGGTAGGAGGAAGAGGAGAATGTGGAGGTACTACAGGCATAAAGTTTCAGTCAAGCAAGATGAATAAGCTCTAACAGATCTACTGTACAACAATAACACAGTAGTTAAAATTTTGTTAAGAAGGTAGATTTCATGTTAAGTGTTCTTTCCACAATAAAATAAAAAGGAAAAAGAAAAAGGAGGAGGTAAAAGAATGTAACAGGGGAATATAAACTAATTTTGCCTAACAGGAACATCTACAAAGGCTTCATGCATATAAAAGGTAACACTGGAATTCGGCGTTGAAAGACTTTCAAAATTTGAAAGAAAAAAAAAATGAGTGGTGGATAGATTGGCTACAGATGTTTGCAAGTATGTAGCAAAGTCAGGAAGGGTATGGGAGGAATGTGGATAATGACAGAATGGCTGTGGAAGATCAAACTGGAAAAGGCAGCTGTGAAGAATTTGGATCTTATTCCATAAGCAATGGCAATCAAAGTTGGTATTTTGAGAGGGCGTTAACATTTTTTCCCCAACAAATACAGGGATTATTTGTCTTGTTCATCATTGTGCCCAGGAGTCAGCTGCATGGCAAACTTCAAGGAAGCAAAGGTAATTACATTATTTGTTAAAATCAAACATAACTGAGGACCTGTGTAATGTGGTGTGGTGGCTAGGGGGGATTAAGGATGGGATTTACATTCAGATGAAACGGCTGACAGGTAAATATATTACCAGAGATGACAGAAAATGGCAGCTTGGGAACATAAGGGAAGAAAGGATTGGTGCTGCCTGAAAGGTTTCTAGGGTTTAACAAATGAGGTATGATTCTTTAGCTAGGCTTTGAAGGATGAAGAGCTGTCAGGCAGAGAGTAACATTGCCAAAAGTAGGGTAATATAAGTTAAACTATGGTTTTAACTCTATCAGAATTTCACAAGACAGCAGAATTATTCACAGTGGTAAAAGTGTGGAAACAACCTACACATCCACGGATGGATGAAGAGACAAACGAAATGTGGTATAGACATACAATGATATACTATTCACCCTTCAAAAGGAAATTCTGGTGCATGCTACAGCATGGAAAACCTCAAAGACACACTATGCTAAGTGAAGTAAGCTGGTCACAAAAGGACAAATATTGTATGACTCCAAGTCTGAGGTACCTAGAGTAGTCAAGTTCATAGACAGAAAATAGAATGGTGGTTGTCAGGGGCAGGAGGGTCGGGGGGGAATGGTGAATCATTGTTTAGTGGGTGCAGAGTTTCAGTTTGGGAAGAAGAAAAGTGGTCTGGAGATGGATGTTGGTGATGGCTGTATAACAAGGTAAATGTACTTAACGCCAGTGAACTCTGTGTTTAAAAAAGGTTAAAATGGGGACTTCCCTGGTGGTCCCGTGGTTGAGACTCTCTTCCCAAAACAGGGGGCATGGGTTCGATCCCTGGTTGGGGAACTAAGATCCCATGTACCACAGGGCACGGCCAAGAAAAAAAAAAAAGGTTAAAATGGTAAAGGTTTTACCACAATAAAAAAAAAAGAATTTCCTGCCATGTTATGAGCCTTAAAGACGTGGAAGTCATTAAGGCCCTTGAGAATAGCTAAAAGAAATTTTAAGGATGGGAAGCATTTTCGTAAGACATGTGCTAATTTTTAAAAGCTTCACTATAACTAGCGCTAACAACTTAGTGGAGTTTCTAAATATTAGTAAAACCGCATATGACTTTTTTTTTTTTAGGACTATGGCAAAGAGTCTCAGGCCAAGATGTCATCGAGGAGAACTTCAAATGCAAGAAATGATCAAATTAAAAAACTGAGCTCTTAAAAAAAAAAAAGAGAGAATTTCCTAAGACATTCCGCAGTGCTTCCACTTCTTCCTGGAGGCGGTAGAGTCCCACTCAGGGAAAGCAGAGCTATATCTGCACAATCTAAGAAAAGTAACTGGTGGCAGTGGCTGAAAGCCAGGGAGAGGGGGTTTGAGATCCCTGGAGCCTAAAAAAAGGCAACAGAAAAAAAAGAAAAGTGGGGTTTGGAGGGTTGGAAGGAAAGGAAGAGACGGAGGAAGTGCGTTCAGCGCCATAAGCAGGTCGGGCCCTCGCCCGAGCATCTGTCAACCACGGGGTTCACTCCGGCCCTTTCAACTCCACGGGCTCCAGGGCTGCCAGGCCCTCGGTGGACCCCAGTCAGGCCCCCGCCAGGATTCATACGCCAGTTCGGCCTCCCCCGCGACCCTGAGGACGCGCGGCCTAACTGGACGAGTTACTCATCCCCACCCAGCCTCAGGGTCCGAACAAGGAACCGGGGGCTACGCGACCACCGGCCTTACAGGCTGTGAGGACTGAACGACGGGCCTAAAGCGCTCGGCCCAGGGCACTGCGCACGGCAGGAGTTTGCGGAAGAGCTCCAGATGGATTTCACCCCCGGAAACCAGCCCAGCCGGCCCAGCCTCCTCTCCGCGGCCCGCTCTCCGAGGCGCGCGACCCCTCAGTTCCCGAACACGCGCGGGGCCCACGGCGCCCCCGGGCTCCGGAAGCCGCGAGGGGCGGGAGGGGAAGTTCCGCGGGTAAGGGGCGCCCTCCGACTTACTCCTCCAAGAAGTCCACGAATAGTTTCTGGCACTTCTCGGCCACCTCGTCGCGGACTTCCAGGTGCTGGCTGCCGGCGCCAGGCTCCGCTGCCGCCGCGAGGTCCATCGCTGCTTAATGCTGAGGGGCCGCCGGCGCCTCACTGGACCGCAGAGAGTTGCTTCTCCCCGGACGCTGCCGCTCGGCGCGCACCTCCTCTGCCCCGCCCCTTCGCCGGAAGGCCGGAGCCAATCGTGGCGCAGGAGCTCGGGGATTTCGCGCCAAACCTGTCCAATGAGCGCGGCGTCTCTCTCAGCCCCTCCCACGAAACGGAGATTTCGCGCCAAATGCAAAGACCAGAGAAAGCCGGGTGATCGGCCTCTGCGCCTGCGCAGTTGTTCGTGTCCGGGGGAATTTGGCTGCTGGAGCGAGTTAAAACGTAAGATCTTTGCCCGGGGGTGGTTTTTCAAATGTTCTTCAAATAGTTTCACTTATATTAATTGAGCAAGAGGCGTAATGCCTTATGGAAGAAGAAAATGAGTAAGATTCCGACCTCCTGCTTGAGCCATCTAATTGGAGGATATAAACTGTAAACCACCGGCTGAAACCCTGTAAGAGTCAAAAGTGACGTAGTAACAGTACCAGGGGGAGGGGAGAGAGGGGAGTTGGCAGAATTACTCTGGTTGGTGCTGACCGGGAAAAATCAGCGAATATTTGACGCTGTTGAATACTTCCCCTCTCAAACGCACTCTTGGTTTGTGTCCTCTTGACTTCCCCTCTCTTTTGCCATATTTTCCCGACTTCGTTTCACTTGATTTTTCTCTTATCTCTTTGGCCATTCCTGGTTAGCCTCCTTTGTAGGCGCCTCTTTAGGGAGTGCCTTAAATGTTCTCGTCCCAGAGCCCTCTTTTTCCATAAAGGAGCTCTCTTGGGCGATCCCCTTCACTCACTTGTTTTCAATTTACCAAGGCCTTGGTGCTGATGACTTCTGAATCTGTATCACCAACCAGTTCTGTTTCCTGGGGCTCCAAGAAATTACAAGAAGCCTGGATCAATTCCATTTTTTGAGGCTTCCAAGCACATTAAAAAAATATATTTTTTTAAATGCCGAACAGGATGACATGAAGCTACAGTAATTCTTTTAACACACACACATAGAGAAAGACACTATTCACAAGATATTTACAAGGTTTAACCAAAAACTCATTACTTGTGTGCTGTAGTGTATTAGTGTGTATATTGCTTCATTTGAAGGGGATGGGAGCCCTTGCAGGCCTGTACCCTTCAGCCCTTCACCAGCTCCAGATCTGCCTGCCTACAAGACATCACCACTTGTATATACTTTAAGAACCTCAGACTCACCTGTTTCATGATATTCACAGCCTTTCTGCACTGGCACAAGAATGGATCCAGGAGCTATCTAGGAGCAGATTGCTGACCAGATTCTGTCTCATTCTCTCAAAAGTCCTCCTTCTTTTCTTTCCCATTTTTCTTTTTCCCCCTTCTCTTCCTCTTCTGTCCTCAAGGTAGATTTCCCAGAACTAAAGCACCGTGTACAGAAGGAAAAAATCAAAGAACAGGAGTGCAGAGTTCCAGGCTAATTTACAGCTGTGCCCACTGAGAAACTTGGAACTTGCTCTTCTCAACTCTCTACACCTCACAGGCCCTCCCTTTCCCCTTCAGACATGCACCTCTGGACCAGAATAGGAGATGAGGTCTCCTAGTGAGGGTAGTGGAGCTACCTTCCATAGAAGAGGAGGATGTGAGTTATGAAACATATCTGAGCTGTATCCCAGAGAGTAGTATGCCTCTGTGTGTGTGTAAGCCTGAGACTGCTATCCTTAGAAAGGCCTGCTTGCAAGGTTGGCCTTTGGCTGGCACTTGGGAACTTGACTGGTAAACAGTTCCCTACACTGATATTACACTTTCCCTAAATGGTAAGGATGGCTCACTGTGCCTGAAATGCTTTTTACAAACAACGTGGTTGATACTGAATATCTTCTGACAGTTTGGAATCTTGACATGTGCTCGGTAGACGGTGCTTATGTGACCAGCCCCCAGTAACAACACAGGCTTCTCAAATGAGCTTCCCTGGTAGACATGTGTGTGTTATTACAGTTTGATGCTGGGACGGAATTAAGTGCATTCTGTATGACTCCAGAGGGGAAGGACTCTAGGAAGCTTGTGCTTGGTCTCCTCAGGATTTTGCCTCCTGTGCCTTTTCCCTTTGCTGATTTTACTTTCTATCCTTTCACTGTAATAAATCATAGCCATGAGTATGATTATATGCTGAGTCCTGGAGTCCTCCTAGCAAATCATTGAACCTGAGGATGGCTTTGAGGAACCCCCAACGCAATGTATGTATTTTTTAACCTTATAATAGAGAATTTCAAACACACATAAATGTAGACAGAATAGTATAATGAACTTTCATTATGTAACCCCGATAAGCACTAACACGTGGCCAATCCTGTCCCAACCACACACCCCATCTGCTTTTCCCTCTCCATAGTGATTATCTTAAACTTTTTATTTTAGAATCGTCTTTTAAAATAGTCTTGCAAAAGGTAGGATAGAGTTGTCATATACTCTATGCCCATTTTTCCCTATTGTTAACATCTTACATTACCACAGTACATTTGTCACAATTAAAGAAGGAACTTCAGTATTATTAACTAAACTCCATACTTTATTTCGATTTCAGTAGTTTTCCCCTAATGTCCCTTTTCTCTTCCAGGATCCCACCCAGGATACCACATTACACTGAGTTGTCCTATCTCTTTAGTCTCCTCTGGTCTTGCAGTTTCTCAGAATTTTCTTGGTTTTGATGACATTGACAGTTTTCAGGTATACAGCTCGGGTATTTTGCAAAATATTCCTCAGTTGGGATTTGTCTGATATTTTTTCTCATGTTTAGACTGTAGTTAGGGGGTTTGGGAGGAAGACCATAGAGGTAAAGTACAGTTCTCATCACTCCCTTATGATTTTGAAGCACATCCTAGATATCATATCATTTTATCTGTAGATATGTCAGAAGGCATCTCTATAAGATAAGGGCTCTTTTTCCTGAGACATATCTTTGGCCGGGCTGTAGCAGTACAGGTTGATGATGCTGATTCTTTTAAAGCTAATTGTAATATTTTCCTTGATTACCAACACTTCAATATATTTTGAATAAAACCAGCAGATTAAATTTTTACATGGTTTAGGTGGTGTACAATATTCAATAATATATTTATCAAATCATATGAAATATTTTCTTCCAAATAAAGTCAATCCTCATCTTATAAAATATGTAATATATATTACCTCTTATTAACTAAACAAGAGAATTAGATGTTAGCTGCTGATCAATTTGTTTTTAGCAGTACATGATTAAATGCCTTTTTAGTCATTTGCCTTCCACTTTAGTTACATATGAGAAGTTTGGTCATAATGTGTAGCAAAAGTAGTGGTGAGGGCAGTGGTAATGATGGCAGTTTCTACCTGTTTTTATATAATACTTATTTAATTTTTTCCAAAGGTGAGTGCCATAATTACACACACACACAGTTACTGCAAAAATATTTAAAACTTTCATTATATTTCTCAATTTATTATAACATCATTTTGACCATACTTATATTACATTATTATACTTCAAGAAAAGAGGAGCAGCATATAAATTTATTCTTGTTTTTATAGCTATTATGAAAATGGATAATTTAATTATATTGGTATTATTTTAATATCAATTTGACTGCTTTTAATCATTAGTTTTACAAAATGTCTTCCAGATTTTCTCTCCCAGTGTTTTTTAAGACTATTTCTTGAAACAATATTAATATTTTTGTTTGCATTGAAAAACGAAGTTGGATTTTTTCTAACAGAACAGTAAGTGTGATTTAGCCAATTCATTTACAATGAGGACAGGCTTCGCTAAGTGTTATGGGGTGGATATTTCTGGACATTGAATGACCTAAATCTTGAGCTCTGAGGTTCTGGCCAACATTTATCTAAAGAACATTATAAAATGAAAGAAGTTTATTTTCAAAAATTGTATAAGCAAAGGTTTGTTGAAATTAACTTTTTTTTTCTTCTCAAGTTTAGGAAAGATTTGGACAGCAGAAACAGAGTGAGGAATCCTCAGAAGAGATGGTAGGGCAGCCTTAGGAATAGATGTGATCACCCAGAGAGCATTTGAAGAAAGAGAAGAAGGTAGGTCCAAGCATGAGACCCTGGGGAATACCAGCATTTAAAAGGAGGCTGAGGGGCATCCTAGGACTTCCCTGGTGGTCCAGTGGTTAAGACTTCACACTTCCAATGCAGGTGGCCTGGGTTCAATCCGTGGTCAGGGAACTAGGATCCCACATGCTGCAGGGCGTGGCCAAAAAAAAAAAAGGAGGTTGAAGAGGAAAATGCCATGGGAGAGACTGGGAAAGAACAGCCAAAGAAATAGGAGGAGAATCTGAAAAGCCAAAAGAGAAGACTCTGGAACTAGTCATTGTCAGTGGTAAAGGCTGCAGAGTGGTCAAGGAGGACAGAGACTAAACATGGCAGAAGGAGCTTCAGTGATGTGGAGGGGTGGAAGTTAGATTGCAAGGGAGTGAAGAGAGCAGAGGAAGCAGAGTGAGTGGCGACCACTCCTTACTAAGTTGGGCTACAAAGACAGAGTGGATTGTAAGGGACGTGCTCTGCTCTGTCTGGGTTGAGAGGCCCTTGACACAGGCTTTGGTGCTTTTGAAACAGTTGGCTGTTGGAGCACAGGTGCAGGGAGAGAGAGCCAGTCAGCAGTTACTCTCTCCCTCTGGCAACTGAGGAGAAGAGGGGAGACTACATGGCCCCTACCATTTGCGATGGAAGGGGTTATCTCACTCCACAGAGGCCTCCTGTTACACCCTCTTCCACTCGTACAGCCAGGGTTACCACCTATGGTAGCAAGGCTGCTGAAACCCAGTCAAACTCTACCAGCCTAGCCAATCGCCCTGGTAGAGAGCTTTGTTCCAGATTGCACAGAGTTACTAGATGGGCTAGCAGTTTCCCTGCATATAGCCCTTCTCCAAGAAAATTAGCCTTAGCTAATCCTACTTGTCATCCCCAAAAGGCAAATATGGGGAAGTCTTTTACTCTGCAAAAGTATGTACAATAAAGGAGTACTCACTCAGAACCTTGCACCAGAATCCAGTTGTACCTGGAAGGACGTTTTGTATGTGGAGTAATTGGCATAGCTTCAACAGTTAAGCACATGGGCTCTGGATTTGAGTCCTGGCTCCACTACTTAAGTGATCTTGGGTAAGTTACTTAACCTCTCTGTGCAATAGGTTTTCTATCTGTGGGACAATAATAGAAACCATTAACAGCACTATCGTTATAAAGAGTAAATAAGATAATATGTATAATGAGTTTTTATCTGAGGGGTAATAATAGAACCTGCTAATAGGGCTGTCATTGTAAGGATTAAAAGAGATAATATGTATAAAGTGCTTCATAATATGTGCAAATATGCCTGGCACATATTAGATATCATACTCATATTCTATTTAGCCTTCCTCAGTACTGATTCATTATAATGCTATTTATCTCTGAAATATTTCCCATAAAAATATATTTGTAGGGGAATTCCCTGGTGGTCCAGTGGTTAAGATTCCGTGCTTGCACTGCAGGGGGCATGGGTTCGATCCCTAGTTGGGGAACTAAGATCCCGCATGCCACGTGGTGTGGCCAGACCAAAAAAAAAAAACATATATATATATATATATATATATATATATATATATACTTGATGACATAAATACACTACGGTATAGCATGTGTGTGCTGTGTGTGTGTGTGTGTGTGCGCGTGTGTGCGTGTGTGTGGTGTGTGTAACCTTCCTTTGAGTGCTCCTATGAGTGCTCAGCCAAAGAGAACTGTGTACTCTGTGTACTGTGTACTCTGTACCAGTAAAGGTTGGTTAGCCCACCACACCGCAGAACTGCACATCGCCATCTGCCAAAGTGAGTGTGTTCTGCAACTCACCGTATTAGGACTACCAGCTGGAGATGGGTGGAAGATGGATGTTATGAAGGGCTTCATAAACATCACTGCCACTTGGGAGGAAAGACCAAGAATGATATGACATGTGCCTGGGAGAAACTTTGGCCCAAGGCATGTCTTAACTTCAGAGTTATTGAGGAGATCCAAGAGCAAATGCCAGGGTTCCAGGAATGCATTTCCCTAAGGACTGTGCTATGAGGACCCAAGTAGGGCTGATATGGCTGGCATTCCCATTTGCAGGGACCCAGAAACCCCTTGGCAACATGGGATATGTGTCCATTATGATTAGACCTGTCTCCTTACTGTGTCACCTCCACCGTGAGACTTTCTGACCTCCCAGCCTACAGTTCTCTCTCCTTTCTCTGAACTCTGGAAACATTCCATCTCCCAGTTGGCACACATAATTTTCTGCGTGATTAGGTTGGTTTTCTTTTCAGGCTGTTATCTTTTGGCTTGATATCAAACATTTTTATTGACTGATTAAAACTGGGAACTTGGGAAGACTTAACATCTCTAAGAAACCAAAGGGCACATTTTCTTAAGAAAAACTTTTATTATAGAAAATTTCAAATATATTAAAAAGTAGAATAGAATTATGCACCCCTATGTATCCATCACCTAGTTCAATCTTTTTGGATCTATAACCCCACCATCTTCTCCTGACATTAAATTATTTGGGAAATTTCTGACGTTGTATAATTTCTTTTGTAAACAGTCCAGTATGAATCTCTAAAAGACAAGCATTCCTGTAAAAAAGCATACAGCCACTATATCAGATGCTCTCATGTACCCCTTCAGGTCCTCACCTGTCTCTTGTTCCAGTTCCATGAGGGCTCTGAGCCGCTTGATGGTATCTCCTGCCCTCTGTGCCTCTCAGGTTTCCCTGTTGTCACCACAGAGGAACTGGCTCATGCCTCTTAGAAGCACCCTGGAGGAGAGAGGGAGTCAAGGTCACACAGAATCTTTAATCAGTGGGAGAGGAGAGTCAGTGGTTAAATTGCTTTCCCCTAACCAATCCCTTACATATGGGTATGTAGGTTAGGTTAGGGTTTTTCCCCCTCCCTTCTTCCCCTTGCCCCCCATTAGAAACAACAGTGCAATAAACCTCTTTGTATGTGCGTATTTCTGGAGGATAAATTTCTGGAAGGGCTGGTCCTAGGTGAAAGGGAATTAATATTTTCGATTTGCCTAAACTGCCAAATTGGTTTTCAATAAGGTTGTACCAATTTATTCTCTTACCAATGCACAGGGCATTTTCATTTTAAGTGAAATAAGAACCTTAAGCCAAATGGGTTAAATTCTGAGCTTAGAATGACAGGTTGCGGTCTGTCCATGAGAAATGATTATTTGGGTAATAGAAGCTACCTCGTACCCCAAAGTCTCAGCAATCCCCAAACTTTGCTCCATTCATTCATTTATTCAATCATGCAACAAATATTTAATGAGTACCTACTGTGCATCAGTACCAAGGTACTACTGATACTGCCGTGCCTGTCTGTTGTGTAGCTTATATTCTAGGGGGCCAGGCTGAAGTGGAGCACACTGAAAACTTGGATAGAATTCATTCCTTCTTGCTGTTGAACCTCAACCAGGTAAATTGTTTCTGTTACAGTTAGCCCAATAATGACCCAGTGTTTTATAAAGAGATAAAACCCATCTTCTTGGCTTGAAATTGAAAAAGGAAATTTTACAACCCATTCTTCAAGACAAAAAGAGATTCGTACTTTTCACGTCCAGTTGTGGCAGGCTGTGCCGGCATCAGGGGCTAATCGTCCATCTTTTATCAGCCCCAGGAGACTCATTCTGGGCCTATAAGACTGGTGGGTTGACAGGCAGCTCAGAAAAAGAGGCACTTACAAGCAGCTCACATACAACCAAATGAAACATTTTTCTGATCTGAATGCAAGTCCACCAGGTTATTGTGAATAATTAAGTGAAAGAAAACAAAAAAGAAACACAAAACCAAAAAGAACCCGTGCTCCTTTCAGCGGTTATAGAGGATTGTATGACTGATAGCGATGTTTAGAAAGCATTGCATTGCACAGTTATGTGGGAGGCAATAAGGACAGCTAGTCTGATTCCTAGCATGGCTTCAACTAGAATATCTGAGACTGTGTGGCATGTGTGTGTTTTGTTGTTATATTTTTAATTAACAGGAACAAAGGGCTGTAGTGCTTCGTGCTGCTACTTGTTCTTTCTGTGCTACAGCTCAGTGTATGAATCCTGTCCTTCAGTCATCAGTGTGTTGGGGTATCCTTCAATGGGCAGACATTTCTGTAGATAGGGCTCTTAGAAATTTACAACCTAATGATGGAGGCAGGATATGAATACAACTAAAAATTGCAGAAAAATGCAAGTATACCAAAATACATAAAATATAAAGTGATATGAAAGTAGAAAGTTGAAATGGAGGATTCTAATTAGGATATTTTCTGTAAATTGAGATAACCTATGGGGAGGCAAAGAAAAATCTTTCATTCCTTATTTTATAGTAAATTATAATTTTAACAATTGCAAGTAATACATATTCAGAGGGATACAGATAAATAAAGGCAGAGAGATACAGATAAATGAAAAGACAATAAAAGCCACCCCAAATTGTATCACACAGAAATATTATTGGTTAATATTTTGATAAATATTGGGTGGGCCCAAAGGTTCATTCGTTTTTTTCTGTGAGATGGCTCTAGTAGCACTTAGGTGTCTTTAACTTCATTCGAAACACTTTTGTTAGATTGTATGTGACAGCTGTCATATCAGCGTGCATTTAAAAAAAGACATCAGAATTGGTGAATTTTTTTTTTTTTTTGGCTACGTTGGGTCTTCGTTGCTGTGCACGGGCTTTCTCTAGTTGCAGCAAGCTGGGGCTACTCTTCATTGCGGTGCGTGGGCTTCTCATTGTGGTGGCTTCTCTTGTTGCGGAGCACGGGCTCTAGAGCACAGGCTCAGTAGTTGTGGTGCATGGGCTTAGTTGCTCCGCGGCATGTGGGATCTTCCTGGACCAGGGCTCAAACCTGTGTCCCCTGCATTGGCAGGCGGATTCTTAACCACTGCGCTACCAGAGAAGTCCTCACAATTGGTGAATTTTTGTGTAGCCATTTTAATATTGAAGATGGAAGAAAAAAAGCAACATTTTTGGCATATTATGCTTTATTATTTCAAGAAAGGTAAAAACGCAACTGAAACGCAAAAAAAAGATTTGTACAGTATATGGAGAAGGTGTTGTGACTGATCGAACATGTCAAAAGTAGTTTGCGAAGTTTCTTGCTGGAGATTTCTCGCTGGACGATGCGCCACGGTCGGGTAGACCAGTTGAAGTTGATAGCGCTCAAATCGAGACATTAATTGAGAACAATTTATGTTATACCACTCGGGAGATAGCTGACATACTCAGAATATGCAAATCAAGTGTTGAAAATCATTTGCACCAGCTTGGTTATGTGAATCGCTTTGATGTTTGGGTTCCATTCAAGTTAAGCGAAAAAAACCTTCTTGTCTGTATTTCTGCATGCGATTCTCTACTTAAATGTAATGAAAAATTTCCATTTTTAAAACAAATTGTGACGAGCTATGAAAAGTGGATACTGTACAACAATGTGGAATGGAAGAGATCGTGGGGCAAGTACAATGAACCACCACCAACCACGCCAAAGGCCGGTCTTCATCCAAAGAAGGAGATGTTGTGTATATGATGGGATTGGAAGGGAGTCCTCTATTATGAGCTCCTTCTGGAAAACAAAACGATTAATTCCAACAAGTTCTGCTCCCAATTAGACCAACTGAAAGCAGCACTCGACTAAAAGCATCCAGAATTAGTTAACAGAAAACACATAATCTTCCATCAGGATAATGCAAGACCGCATGTTTCTTTGATGACCAGGCAAAAACCGTTACAGCTTAGCTGGGAAATTCTGCTTCATCCACCGTATTCACCAGACATTGCACCTTCGGATTTCCATTTATTTAGGTCTTTACAAAATTCTATTAATGGAAAAAATTTCAATTCTGTAGAAGACTGTAAAAGGCACCTGGAACAGTTCTTTGCTCAAAAAGATAAAAAGTTTTGGGAAGATGGAATTATGAAGTTGCCTGAAAAATGGCAGAAGGTAGTGGAACAAAAGGGTGAATACATTGTTCAATAAAGTTCTTGGTGAAAATGAAAAATGTGTCTTTTATTTTTACTTAAAAACCGAAGGCACTTTTTGGCCAACCCAATATATTTCAGTATTATTTTAATGGCTATCTAGATTACTATAAAGTCCACCCCTGTAGTATATTTTTACAAATTTAATTTAAATCTTTAGATTTTTTGAGGAATTAATGAGTCAAAGGGGAAAGCATTTTAATACTCTTGATATGTGTTTTCAAACTGTCCTCCAGAAAAATGATACACTCTCTCCAGCACTGTGGTAGTACCATTGCCATTTTTTCCCTCCTTGCCAATTTAAAAAGAAAAAATGAGACCACATTTAGTTTTTACATGTATTCTAACGATTTTCTGGGGAACCTCACCAGCTTTCAATAAATACAGTTCAATGGATTGCACTAAATCCGGATTTCTTTGATTGTTCCATTGTGGCTTATACAAGGGTATGCTCTCCTGTTGCATTTCACACAGAGGGTG